CGTTTAGGTCAACCAGACTTTCGGCCCCACAACTAGTTCACTATTTCAACCAACCTTTGTTTGTCTTTTTGCCCTTGAATCCGGCGTTGATCATGTCAGTCAGCAAATCAGCAGACCCACCACGAACTCGTGGCCCTAGTGCTTGGCCAAGGAATTGTGCAACATGTGCGGATACATCTAATCCTACCTGAATAACACACCTACTGACACCTTATGGATCCCCTTGACCAGTTGAAAAGCACTCACCTCATCGGCCAATGTTGCTGCTCCAACGGGGAATCCGAATTGTTTTGTGAGTTTGTCCAATTCTAGGGGTGAGACGCCTTCTTGCAGCATACGAATAACTTCCGACATCATTGGACCAAGACAGCGTACAACAAAGAAACCAGGACAGTCCTGATTACCACATTCGTTGGAATTTATAGAGAAACTCGCGAAAATCCAAGGTGAAACACTCGTTACCTTCACGACCACCACAAGCTTGCCCTGTTTCAATCCTAGTTGAGCAGCAGTGGCCAAGGTTTCCTTTGACGTTCCATCATGAACGATGATTTCCAGAAGTTGCATCTTGTCTACGGGGGAGAAATAGTGCATACCAATCACCTAAAACAATATTTATACGGAACGCTGACCAAACCACATCGTATAAGTATACAGTATCTTAGCCAAGGCACAAAAAAACTTTTCCAGGGCTAAATATTCTTCCACCCCCCGATGGGAGTCGCACAACGTAGTGGATAACGCGCGTGAAACAGGAAAAAGCAAATATCAAAATTTCTCAAGCCAAATGATATCCCCTCTCTCTACCGTCCGAATACGACCCCGCTGGGGATTCCCCAGCGCATGGCGTACCTTATTTTAGATACCAAGCTTCACAAAATAGCAAACAAATACAACAACCTACCTTCTCCGGACGAGCAGACGCCTTGGCAATCTCCTTTATGGGAAGAGCGGACGTGTTTGATGCAATAATTGTGTTCTGAAAGGTTAATTCGGTTCTAAACAAAGTTTTTATATGAACTAAGAAATGAACCCTGAACTTACAGGACCAACTATTCCCTCAATTTGCTTGATTACTTTGTGCTTTAGGGCCAGATCTTCGAATACCGCTTCAATGACAATATCAGAGTTTTTCATGGCCGAATAATCGCATGACGCTACCAAGTTCGAGACCATTCTACAAATGCATTATTGCCATTAAGCTTAACTATCTTACTATTTACAGAACTCACCGCTCTTTCTCCAACTTGTTGATCTTCTTCCGCTTCACTTGACCATTGAGCTGAGTGATTATCTGGTTCTCGCCACGCTCAAGACCCTGGAATATGGTGACTTGGTCAGCGCATTGAAAGCAATGAAAGGCATGCCCTATCACATCTCGCAAAAGTTGATATCATCCAGTGCAAAAAAAAAAGAAATACAAAAAAAAACAACAAAAACGCAGAGGAAAAACTCTTGGAAGGAAAAAGAAATTTTAAAAACTCGGTGTCCGAATTTTGGGTTACGGTAGCGCACATTTTAGTGCACTGAAGTGCGTCGAGCTTTTGCACCACGAAAATTGCGTCACTCGTGATTTTTACGCGTTTCACCTCGCGAAATGGGTTGAGTTGAATGTATATGCCCCCATTGAGTAAACTGTAATAAAGGAGAGCAGAATTATCCATGGGCACGAGTGCGGTCAGCAAAAAGGAGATGCAATTCCGATTAATGCCCGCCCCCCCCAACTAAGAACATCTGAGTGGCCTCGTCGGAGGGCATCTAGCAAGCAAGGCGGTCCAACTAAGCAGGCGTTAAGAACTAGAACTTGTAGCGGCTGTAGCTCGCTCTTCGCCCCTGTGGAGTCGAATAGAGTGGGACAGTCTCTAGCTTGGGGCTGTACTACTTGCACAAGGAAGGACGACCATGTACTACTCGAGCGCGGGGGCTGTCTTTAAGAAACCGACTAGTGTTGGACAGAGATTCTAACCAACATTACGACATCGTACCAGCTTCTTGAGAGACATCTCTTTTCAGGCGAAAAAGATGGGTTTGGTAGATTCAGTAGTTCAACCGCTTGGTGATGGCCTCCTGCCGGCCGCGGAAAATACTCATAAGTGAGTTTGAATGATTCCCGTAGACATCTGTGATCTATGGTATATTGATTCAGGTATCTGGAAAGGATTGCTGTGGATACAGCTCGTCAGATAGCAGACGGAACGTTGAAAGTGACCAGAGAAAAACCATTGGTTCAGAAGTTGATGAACAAGGTATAGTTTTTACTCATGTCAATGATATTACCTGTTTCTCTCTGGTTCATGGAAATTGATCGGTATTCCGAACAGTACTTTGTTTCTTATTTGCTCAAAGGGATGGGCATTGCTTAGGAGATCCATGTTGCGGAACTGCGCAGAAACTAGCAGCTTATTTGCTAGCTCGTTGACCCGGCATACTGCTGCACTTCATGGTAAATGAATTAGGTCCTGCGAGCGCTGAGCACTTTTCACCGCTGGCAACGCCGCGTCGTGGATCTCTCAATCGACACCATAGAATAATTTCTCTTCCTTAATGAAGGGATCAGCAGGGATTTGAATATCGAATGTGTTATTGATCGAGTTATGGATCTGTCTACTTTCAGGCTCTCACCAATTCGTTCGTTCTCGATAAAGTGGTGCTGAAGATGGCTAGGGACAAGGTGAATTTGAAGAATTTATTTAGCGGTTTTTTCTTGGATAATTGAAGAATGTCGTTGTGTCGGGTACTACTGATCAAGCCCGGCATACGCCAACGAAATCCTGCATGCGCTAGATTCTTACCTATACTTTCCTAGTCGCTGCCGCTGGCCTACACTGACATGAGGCATGAAAGAAATCCTCACAGATCCGCCCCCCCCTCCCCCTCTGATAATGTGGCGAGTACTCGCTTAAGAAGACCATTATTAAGGTAATGAACAAACAGCTGGAAATTATCCGGCGCCATTGAGAATCCTTGAAACTGTTCGTAAAGGACTAGTCGAAGGACCTGTTGAAGGATACAACTACGAAGCACAGGTATTGTCATTGGTCTTGTGAATTATTGATATTAGTATTAAGATAAAATTTCCATTGATAAAACACCTTCAGCAATTTCTTTGAAATGCGGTTTATATCTAGCAAAACGTGTTCGGATTGTAGTCGCTTAGATTCGGAGGCCTATTGCTTGATAGCCACTTAGTAGTAGGTAGAGGGTGTTCAGCACTTTGGCGATCGCAGTCGCTCGAGCGAGAAAACGACTGGAAGCGCTCCAGTGCCACTCGGTGGACCGCCGCAACGGTAGAATTCAAACTGTGCTGCGTTCATACAGTGCACGCGGGGCTCAGTTGCATTCTGCCGTTCTGGCGGTCTATTGATTGACGATGAAGTGCCGCGGTTTATGGTCGCGTGACAAGTGATTGGATCGCAATAGTTTAAACACGGTCGTACCCAGTCGTTTTGCTTTATCGTTAGCGCGCCGTTTTTCCTGATACAATGAAGTGCAGGGCAAGCCAATGGTGGGAAGAGAGCATAACTTAGGCATCTCCGTCCCACCAGGCTGTCTGTCCGTGCACTAAAATAAATTCTTTTGAAGGATTCCGTATGGATAACAGGTTTATTTTCTGTTTTTATTAATATGGCAGTGGCAAACTCAAGATTTGTTCGGTTCTAGTCAGTTGGTTTTCTTGCTGAAAGAGGTCATTTTTGCAGTGCTTTGGTGAACTTACCCAAAGCTATCAGGCAAAAGCTTTGATTGGACTCTTCAATGGATCTACAGAATGCAAAAAGAACAAATTTGGAGAAGGTAGACCTGTCAAGTAAGTTTAATTAGAATCTTTGCTTTTATGAATTTTAAGACTGTAGCGGCCGAGTCATCTATAAACCGCAGAAAGCCACATCGCTGCAAAATTGTAGGCTCGC